GTCTCGGCGAACACTCTGCGGAGATTGTGCATGTCGAAGTGCTCTCGCTGTGGCGCCGTGCAATATTCTTGCTCGCGAAACGGCCTTTGGAAGTTGTCTCGTGGTTTGCGCGCCTGCTTTCGCAATCCCGCGGTCGCGGGTTCGATTCCCCCCTGGTCCGCGGCAGCTCCGGCTTGAAAATCGCAGCCTTTAAGTACAAACGTAGTACGCGGAGCGTGCTCCTGCAGCTCCGGCTGGAAAATCGTAACTTTTAAGTACAGACGTAGTGTGCGGAGCATGCTCCCGCAGCTCAGGCTGGAAAATCGCAACTTTTAGGTGCAAACGTAGTACGCGGAGCACGCCCCCGCAGCTCCGGCTTGAAAATCGCAACTTTTAAGTACAAACGTTTTACGCGGGGCGTGCTCCTGCAGCTCCGGTTGGAAAATCGCAATTTTTAAGTGCAGCGTAGTACGCGGAGCACATTCCCGCAGCTCCGGCTGGACAATCGCAACTTTTAAGTACAAAAATAGTACGCGAAGTACATTCCCACAGCTCCGGCAGCACTTGCGCAGAGCAACTTGCGCAGAGTCACTTGCGCAGAGCAACTTGCGCTCTGCGAATTGCACAGAGCACTTGCACACAGCACTTGCGCAGAGCAACTTGCACAGACCAACTTGCACAGAGCACATGCGCAAAGCGCTCGCACGGAGCAACTGGCGCAGAGCACTTGCGCAGAGCAACTTGCTCAGAGCACTTGCGCAGAGCAACCTGCACAGAGCACTTGCGTGCAGCAGCGTGCAGAGAGCAACTTGCCCGAAAGCAGCCTGGAACAATGCAGCTTGCGCAGACCACTTTCGTGAGAAATCATGCAGCGCAACTTGAGCAAAGCACATTGCGCTGAGCAGACTCGCGCAGAGCCACGCTTTATAGAGCCAAGTTGCGCAGAGCCACTCGCGTAAAGTAGCTTGCGCGCGCCAGGTAGCAGCGCGCCAAGTTGCGCAGAGCCATCTTGCGCAGAGCTAAGTTACACGAGCCTGCTTTGCAGAAACATACGCTTCATGACATAGCGATTTTTGTGTCTGACTCGGGCAGGAGCCGGTTGCTATTCCCGAAAGCATCGCGAAGGGTTCTTCCGTGCGGAGCCCTTGGACAAGTTACATAGAGCCAAGTTACATAGAGCCAAGTTACATAGAGCCAAGTTACATAGAGCCAAGTTACATAGAGCCAAGTTACATAGAGCCAAGTTACATAGAGCCAAGTTACATAGAGCCAAGTTACATAGAGCCAAGTTACATAGAGCCAAGTTACATAGAGCCAAGTTACATAGAGTTAGAGCCAAGTTACATAGAGCCAAGTTACATAGAGCCAAGTTACATAGAGCCAAGTTAGTTACATAGAGCCAAGAGCCAAGTTACATAGAGCCAAGTTACATAGAGCCAAGTTACATAGAGCCAAGTTACATAGAGCCAAGTTTACATAGAAGGTTACATAGAGCCAAGTTACATAGAGAGCCAAGTTACAGTTAGAGCCAAGTTACATAGAGCCAAGTTACATAGAGCCAAGTTACATAGAGCCAAGTTACATAGAGCCAAGTTACATAGAGCCAAGTACATAGAGCCAAGTTACATAGAGCCAAGTTACATAGAGCCAAGAGCCAAGTTACATAGAGCCAAGTTACATAGAGCCAAGTTACATAGAGCCAAGTTACATAGAGCCAAGTTACATAGAGCCAAGTTACATAGAGCCAAGTTACATAGAGCCAAGTTACATAGAGCCAAGTTACATAGAGCCAAGTTACATAGAGCCAAGTTACATAGAGCCAAGAGCCAAGTTACATAGAGCCAAGTTACATAGAGCCAAGTTACATAGAGCCAAGTTACATAGAGCCAAGGTTAGGTAGAGCTTAGAGCTTCGGCGTTAGCAGCTATGTAAGTTAGTTTAGGTTTCTAAGGCGCCGGGGCGGGAGTTTGATCGTCGCTCGGGATTGCGACCCTCTGCGGAGATTCGCGTGGTCGAGGTTCAAAAACTGAGGACTTTTTACGATTTCTGCTGGCCGCGCGCGACCCTCTGCGGAGATTCGCGTGGTCGAGGTTCAAAAACTGAGGACTTTTTACGATTTTTAGCATGCGCGCGCGACCCTCTGCGGAGATTCGCGTGGTCGAGGTTCAAAAACTGAGGACTTTTTACGATTTCTGCGGTGCGCGCGCGACCCTCTGCGGAGATTCGCGTGGTCGAGGTTCAAAAACTGAGGACTTTTTACGATTTCTAGCATGCCCGCGCGACCCTTTGCGGAGATTCGCGTGGTCGAGGTTCAAAAACTGAGGACTTTTTACGATTTTTAGCATGCGCGCGCGACCCTCTGCGGAGATTCGCGTGGTCGAGGTTCAAAAACTGACGGTGCGCGCGCGACCCTCTGCGGAGATTCGCGTGGTCGAGGTTCAAAAACTGAGGACTTTTTACGATTTCTGCAAGCCGCGCGCGACCCTCTGCGGAGATCGTGCGCGTCGAAGCGCTCTCGCTGTGGCGCCGTGCGAGTTTGTCTTAGTCGGCGCACCCTCTGCGGAGATTGTGCGTGTCGAAGCGCTCTCGCTGTGGCGCCGTGCAATATTCTTGCTCGCGAAACGGCCTTTGGAAGTTGTCTCGTGGTTTGCGCGCTTGCTTTCGCAATCCCGCGGTCGCGGGTTCGATTCCCCCCTGGTCTGCGGCAGCTCCGGCTTGAAAATCGCAGCTTTTAAGTACAAACGTAGTACGCGGAGCGTGCTCCTCAGCTCCGGCTGGAAAATCGTAACTTTTAAGTACAGACGTAGTGTGCGGAGCGTGCTACCGCAGCTCAGGCTGGAAAATCGCAACTTTCAAGTACAAACGTAGTACGCGGAGCACACCCCCGCAGCTCCGGCTTGAAAATCGCAGCTTTTAAGTACAAACGTAGTACGCGGAGCGTGCTCCTGCAGCTCCGGTTGGAAAATCGCAATTTTTAAGTACAACGTAGTACGCGGAGCACATTCCACTTGCGCAGAGCAACTTGCGCAGAGTCACTTGCACAGAGCAACTTGCGCTCTGCGAATTGCACAGAGCACTTGCACACAGCACTTGCGCAGAGCATCTTGCACAGACCAACTTGCATAGAGCACATGCGCAAAGCGCTCGCACGGAGCAACTGGCGCAGAGCACTTGCGCAGAGCAACTTGCTCAGAGCACTTGCGCAGAGCAACCTGCACAGAGCACTTGCGTGCAGCAGCGTGCAGAGAGCAACTTGCCCGAAAGCAGCCTGGAACAATGCAGCTTGCGCAGACCACTTTCGTGAGAAATCATGCAGCGCAACTTGAGCAAAGCACATTGCGCTGAGCAGACTCGCGCAGAGCCACGCTTTATAGAGCCAAGTTGCGCAGAGCCACTCGCGTAAAGTAGCTTGCGCGCGCCAGGTAGCAGCGCGCCAAGTTGCGCAGAGCCATCTTGCGCAGAGCTAAGTTACACGAGCCTGCTTTGCAGAAACATACGCCTTCATGACATAGCGATTTTTGTGTCCGACTCGGGCAGGAGCCGGTTGCTATTCCCGAAAGCATCGCGAAGGGTTCTTCCGTGCGGAGCCCTTGTTACCCAAGTTACATAGAGCCAAGTTACATAGAGCCAAGTTACATAGAGCCAAGTTACATAGAGCCAAGTTACATAGAGCCAAGTTACATAGAGCCAAGTTACATAGAGCCAAGTAGAGCCAAGTTACATAGAGCCAAGTTACATAGAGCCAAGTTACATAGAGCCAAGTTACATAGAGCCAAGTTACATAGAGCCAAGTTACATAGAGCCAAGTTACATAGAGCCAAGCCACATAGAGCCAAGTTACATAGAGCCAAGTTACATAGAGCCAAGTTACATAGAGCCAAGTTACATAGAGCCAAGTTACATAGAGCCAAGTTACATAGAGCCAAGTTACATAGAGCCAAGTTACATCCCGCCCCCCATCCCTTCCTTTCTCTCATTTGCTGTTCCCTGAGAACATTTAGCAGTCCATGGCCACTTTCAGAGGCACATTAAAGCCGAGCTCTTCAGAGTCAACCACCAAAAGCTGATGAACTCTAATTTTCCCCTGTCCAGGATGGAACAGTACATGTTGACTGCTTCTATAGTTCGCCATGACTTGCCAGACATTCTGCTGAAGAGACTCGCACTCAACGTAAATGCCTCTCGCATTCGTGCTGTTCGCCGGGGGTCTCAAAAGCCTGTTTGGAGGGAGCATTCATCGATCTGTCGGGGCACCCAAACAAGGTTCGGCTTCCCACATGTATGTTTTGTTTAATGGAGTGTGTATGGGTACCTCGTATCCATTTGGCTGTTAAACAAGTGTTGCTCGCCTTTGCTTGTGAGTACCTACACTGCACGTCATTTCACGATAATATTTGACATCCTAAACAAGAAGCATCGCTTATCAAACACAAAACCGGCTACGCTCACCAAAGCCTCAGGGACTTCAGCGAGCCGTGCACGCAGCGTTCGGCTCGAGGTGAAACGAGCCGGAAAAAAGAAAAAATCTGGCACGGAGGAACCGCGGGGTTTGCACGCACAGAAACCCATCAAAAATCTCGCAATGTGTGTCGACAAAACATCGAAGCCCGCGAAGTTCACCGAAAGGTTCTCACAGTTCAAAGACCGGAGGCTCCTTCCAAAGCTTTCATGCGTGAAATGTGGGTGCATTTCCTTACCATTGGCCGATAAAGAGAGCGTCCGCCTCAGTGTCTTTGCGAGCATGGAGGACGGGGCTTGGCCGCATTCCCAATGATTCCGAGCTGAATTGGTTTTGTGGGTTCCCATCTCGATTGGATCCAGAAGATGTTCGGTCTCTCTGATGACACTGAGAATTGGGTGAGCCTGCTTTCTGTGAATGATCAGCCCAAAATTTTACAGTGAAGTACTCAGGTATGCGAATCAGCCACTTCGATTTCATAAAGAGGGCCCGCGAAGCGCACTCACACCGAGGGGCTGGATTTGCTTTTCTGGTTCTTTTCACGGTCGGGATCCGGCGGCTGATGTGGGCGCCTCCAAATTGCTGGTGATAGCCAAAGAAGGACTCCCTTTTGTCCAGCCCAACACCTCATTACTCCAGAATCTCGAGTCCCCATAGCTACATGCAGTGTACCCCGAAATAACCGCTTGCTAAATCCGACATAACTCGTGTTGCGGCATCGCTGCGTCGCTTTTTTCGCAAGCATTGGCCATGTTCAAGTAAGTGACTTAGTGATTTGTCCCGCATAACAAAAATCACCGGGGAGGGGGGGTGGACTCTAGTTGGATCAACCTTCTCTGTCTGGGGGAAATATGATTAAATATGAAACAGAATCCGAACATATATTAGTTTTGTTTGAGGAAAGCACGGATTGTGGGGGGCGCGTCGAGCTGTCCTTATCATTTTAATTCAAATGGGTGGTTTGGTGGTTTGGTGGTTTGGTGGTTTGGTGGTTTGGAGGGAGTAATGTTGACGCCAGAACAAAGCTTTGGTTGTCGGGGGTTCCCCCCCCTCCCCCCAATAGGACGGGTTTATTACGGGGGTCAACATGACTTGGTTCACTTGGCTCAAGGAGGAGTTCAAAATCTCAAACCACGCCAGCCCTTTTTTTCCGGGAAAGCTCACCTTAGACTGCTGGTTTCCTCTCGGAGGGCAGTTTCGACAAAGGCTGACTTTCTGGCCGGACGGAGTTGGTTTTGTGACCTTTTCGGGATGAGAGAATTGGACCATATGCTGAACTGCAAGGGTTTTCCGGCCAAGAAAAGAACCGAAAGTCCAGGGCACTAGGTGCAGAACAAGGCCGGTCATTTCATGGGGGACATGAGCTTGACCGTTCACATGGATATTTTGATGTGACGTGTTTTCCAGATCTGATCAAAAAATGAAACTCAGCTGGTATTCCCAACAGCCCTGACTCCGAAAACGGAGAATCAATCCGCAACCACTTTTGAAAGCTGCCCCAAACCACCCTGTCTTGCCTATCTGGGCCTATCTGGGCCTATCTGGGGCCATATCTGAATCAGCTGGGGAACAAACAAGAAGAAAAGGAATGGAATGACCGTTTTGGGAATTCTTAAAGGAAACCATGCTGTGGCTGGACGAAATCCTGCACCACTTGGAAAGCGTGGAAGTTTGTTAGTATTTACAGGATAATCATCAGACACCAGGGTTTCTGAACGGTTTTTGCGCAGTGAATTTCGCAAGCATCCAAACTTTGGGGCATTTTGCGTGGATGTTAGGCCTTCAACTTTTTGCCAACTCATGGGCTTTCCATTAAACCACTAAAAGATGTTTTTAGCAGAGGAGCAGAAAGCAACCCGAGCACAGTAGGGCCTTTCCACATGGTGACTCCCAGCCATCCCTTTGCTTTTTAGCCTTTCAGCGTTGAGTGGTGGGATATCCATTTCACCCACAAGTTCAACGTTTCGCGGAAAATCTGAAGACAGCCCAGTCCACAGTAGGGGCATCTTCCCTTCCTTCCCCTTCCTTCCCCTTCTTTCCCTTCCTTCCCCCTTATCTTGAAGTAGGCAAGGTACATAGAAATATTAATATTGATATTAATGCTGTTTCCCCCGGGTTTTTGATGGTTTCCAAAAAAAAAGATCCGGATCCCTGGGCTCGGAAATGGAAATGGAAGGGTACTAGGGCCGTTCCACGCTTCGCCTGTCAAACCGGAGGACTTGGTGTTGGGCGTGCGCCTGGAGATGGACTTCGACCAGTTCTTCCAGCGAGAAGATGCCGGCCAGCAGCTGGGCCGCTGGCGGGAGGCGATGGGGGACTGTGGGTATGTGAACTGGAAGGCCAGTGGACATGAGTTGGTGTTTTTTTGTCCCGGGGGGGGAGGGGGCAAGTTGACATGTTGTTTCTTCTTTTTTTTGTGGGGGGGGGGGGGGTCAGGGGGATTTGACATTTGAAGGGAAAGCCAAGAGGAGACCAAACATTTTGGGGTCCTTTGGGGGCTGGCACGGGGGGGGGGGGGAATTGTTTGAGACATTTTGTCGAACAACTCGTTTCGAGCTCACCGACCCGTACGAGGAAAAGCCATGTAGGCGTACTCGAAAATCCATGTCTTCCAAGTTTCGGAATTTTAGAATTGACAGATGTCTCATCAAATACAGAAAGTTGCTGTTCGCCTTTTCAGGATGTAGGACCTACCAGCAATGGCCTGATCCGTGCGATTTTTTCGCTGAACAGTGCCACTCCACATGGCTTCAAGATGGCTTGCAGCCAGGGGCGTTTACCTGTTTCCCCTGAAGCGACGTTCTGTCGCTTTGGTTCTGGTGGGTTTTCAGCTTGAGGCATTCTTCAGGTGTTGGCCCTTCGGATTGCGCACGGTGCTTTTCTTGGGCTCCCTTTTAACTGACCACCTGAAGCCACCCCTCAAGACCGGCTTGGGTGTGTCCATCAAGGACCCCCTTTTGAGATAGTGCCAGGGAACCAAACGTAAAGCTGCGGAAGTGGTTTAGGGTACCCCGGAAGTTCTGTGTTTGTCTTTAGGTTCCCTTTAAAACCCACAAAGCAGGGGTACACTCAAACAAAAGAAACAGACGCCCCAAACGTCTCTTCTTCGGGCACCGCCCAACTTTGCAAACCTCAGAAGAGTTGTCGGCAAGAGTACCGTCAAGAGATACACCCAGAATATGTCTTAAAGTGGGATACCCCCAAAAATTGTGGTCTTCCAGTTGTTTCCTTTTGCCGACAAAGAAAGGCACCAAAAGCAAGATACACCCGGAGCCACTAAGACTTCAATTTGGCGCGTCGACATCGAATCTTGGGCTGTTTGGGGCCACAGTCTATCAATCCATGTTGGGTGTTGAGGGACCCTTTGTGGTCGCAACGTTCAAGAGGGAAAGGCAAACCACTTATTTTGGGGGCCCCTATTTTGAGACGCCCCCATGGCTCCCCATGCAAGGCGCATATCAGGTGGCTCGATTCATGATCCTTCACCATTCCAGCGATACAGAGAGAGAGAGAGAGAGAGAGAGAGAGAGAGAGAGTTGGAGAGAAGGGGAGCACGCGCCATTTTTGCCTGCCCCAAGCCATAAGCCCCCAAACTTGCTTGCGGAGCAACTCCTGCTGCTCTCGTGGCGGCTCCCAGCCGGCCCCTTCACTTTTAGCCTTTTAGTTTTTTAGTGGTTGGATGTCCATTTCACCCACCAGTTCAACCTAACACCGGGGGATCTGAAAACTGAAAACGGACCGCCCAGTGGCGACTTTTTACCCCCAGTGGCCGGGGCTCGTGCCAGGCCATCGCGACGAAGGCCCCAGCCTCGGAAGACTTGGAGCCGAGCGCAGAACGCCAAGGGGCCACTTGGGTCGTGAGGTCAGCCAATTGACTCCAGAGAACAAAAGCTTCGAAGCCCCAACGAAAAACCGAAGCATGGCTTGAACCATGTGGTCTGTTTGTCTTCTTCCCCCAGCTAGGTGCCCTTTCTGGCTGGGAGGGTTCCCCTAGACTACGGAAAAAGAGTTGGTGCCAACTTATTCTAACCTCAAACTACTGGAGGACCTAGACGTGGCTATTTTTGATGAACCCCCTTTTTGGTAGCTTTGCAAGGAAAGCAACGGGAGAACCACCCTCTTTCTTTTTGGGGAGGGGGGGGGGGTGGGGCAGGGTCTCACAAAACGAGAGACGAGCACTTGGGTCCTCCACGTTTCAAAACGTGTCGGGGAGGCCAAGCAGCCAAGAGGGGGTGGAAATCCGCGGGTCTTCCAACTGAGAAAGAAAGATCCGCCGGAGTAAGGCAGAGCTTCACGAGGCATGCGGAAGGGTGATAAACGCCATGATGGGGGCATGTGTCTTTTCTTGTTGCCGGTGATGTTGCGTTTGTTGTTTGTTGTTGGTTTTGTTCTGCCTTTCTTCTTGATGAATTGATTAATGTTGACCCAGGATTAATAAACCCGTCCCACTATTGGGGGGGTGTTCCCTCCAAAAGTGATGAATCCCTACTAAAAGGAGACACCTCCCTATTAATCCACCAGAGGTTTATAAATCCGGGTTTAACATTATTGTGTGTGTGCGTGTGCGTTTTGTTTGCCATGGGCGGAAACGGGTTGCAAGCCAAACGGATCAGGTGCTTGGAGTCTCCCCGTGGCAGCTCCAACTGCAGCGGGTGAGGAGCTTGGCTTCTTGGCTTCCGCGACGCCTTCGCTCGGGGTCCATTTTCCCAAAGGGAGATGTCTCTACCAGGGGTCCCTACTGTGGATGGACAAAATCTATTTCGCACCACCTTTGAGACCCTGGAATGATCATTCCCCTGTAAATACCAGCAAATAATGGTGTCCTATGGTAACAAAGTGGTGTTTCCTGGTTGATTTTCATCAGGGGGTGCCCCCTTTTTAGTGGGGATTCAGGCCACTTTTGGAGGGAACACCCCCCTAATAGTGAGACGGGTTTATTAATCCTGGGTCAACATTACCAGGGGTCCCTATGTTTCCATTTTGGGTGGTTTGAAACATTACCTTGCTGAGTTTCTCTTGGTAGGGCTTTGGGGGGTTGCACCCCTGGTTCTTATTGGTGATACATGGGAAACCACCCCACCAATCCAAACCACCTGTCACTGATTCAGGAGTGATTGTTGAAGATCCCCTTGAAGGGTCATAAAACAAATCAGCCTGGCCAGTCTTTGTTGGTTTGTCAAACATGAATGTCCTTAGATTGACATGGACCCCTCCCCCAAAATCATCATGCTTCAAGGAAGCTCTCTTTCTTTATCTCCTTCAACCCTTACTTGGTTGTTTGGATTGGTGCCTGTTTGCCTTTTGGGGCTTCCACGATATTTCCTTTCAACCAGAAAAGAATTGCGCAGTGTTTTAAGTCTGGCCGAGTTTAGGGTAGATGACATATGAAACAGAATCTGGACATGTGCCTTTTCTGTCTTTTCCGCTTTTTTGGGCTGAGTATATCCAGACAGGGCAATTTGCAGGGGAACATCCGGGCGAAAATACTAAAAAGGGGTCAACATCCCGAGGGGTATAGGGATATTCCCCCCAAAGAGATTCCTAGTGGCTTTTTGGGGGCCCGCAATCTGCAGGGTTTTCTCAATCTGTATCTCCAAGCCACCTGGTTGGCTGGTTTTGGTTAAATCGCGAGCGAGCATGATCTGTGCAACCCACCGAAGAAAAATCAAAGCGGATCGCGAACGGGAGGTGTGCATGCAGCCAGGATGTGCGTGGCCTGTTTTGTTTGCCCGGCACTGTGTTGGGTGTTTTTCTTCTGGGCTGAAAAAGTGGAGCTCGGATGTGACTCCATTGGAAAACCCCTTTATTCGGGGTGGAACATGGTTGGGCTTGGGGCCGGTCACCTTTTTTTGACGTGGGGGTTGGATGTGTGGCCTGGGGATTTGAACACCGCCCCCCGAAGCTGCCCAACAGGCCACGACATGAGAATCCCACGGTCCAACAAAGCGGAGGTGTGTTGGAGGTGCCCTTCAAAGTCAGCCAACAGAAGGGCAGGTCCATTTTCCCTCAAAGAATCAAGCAGGTCAGCTGGCGGGAAGTATTCCTTGGATCAGTTTGTTTCCCTGTCGTGTCTCATCTCTGCTTACATCCGCTGGTCTACGCGACACATTTGTTTGTTTGGAGCCTTGCAACAAACGAAGGCATCTGGTCCATGTGCACGGGAGCAACCTTCAGGGTGTTGAGGCCAGTCAGTTGAACCTTGCCACCTTTACTGGGGCTTCTTGTAGTTGGGCCGGTGTACGCAAGTAGGTCTCAGAACAAGTTGGATGTCCAGAGAGAATCCCGGACACAGTGGGTTGCTGCCCTTTGCCCCTTTTGCAAGAGGTTTCGCTTTGGAATCAAGTACCAAAAAGCGTAAACGGTTGGTCCCAGCTTACATCTCCAAACTGGTGGTAGAAAAGATTTGGTTGTTTGGTTTAGGGAACTTGCCCACCAAACAAATGGAACATGTTTTAATAATTACCTGCAAGGCTCGTTGACCAAGAATGCCAATCCATCGCTCCGGGAAATCGGCCGGTCTTGGACAATTCCCAGCCCGTGGCACCAGCCCAGTCTTGCGATTGATCGATGTCCACGGAAGAGAGTTGCATATTACCTCGATTGAGACAGGATGGCAAGGGTTTCAATTTGGTTCTCAACATATGGTGCCATGTATTATGTTTGTTTAAAGAAGAAAACAAAGTCTGCATACACCCTCCGAATACCTGTTGTTGTCAGCGTTCAACAAAACAAAGAAAAGGCAGGTTTCCTGGGGTATATACCTTCTTTTTTTTGTGAGGGGGTGACGTATAACACCCTTAAAGTGGGTACCTGGAGTCGGGTACGTTGCACATCACCAGGAGGGGCTCTTTGGATCTCGAGTTTGTGGTGGAGGCCAGAGGTTCCTGGAAGCGGTGTTGGACCCATCAAAAATCCCCCGAGTGATGCGCCCAATCCCAGTTTCCTGTCCACCGTTCGAAAGATGGTCCCTGCTTTTAGGAGAAGACCAGGGCTTTTTTGGGCGCTCGTTTTGAGGCGTTTCTTTCCATTTCGCTGGCCTTTGACTAAGCAACACAAAAATGGGCTTTCGAGCCTAAAACAAAGACAAGCTCATATTCCCGATCGCGAATACGTGGAGAATTGCGCAAGCGAGGCTTTGGGCGCAAAGGGTGGGCGCAAAAGGCAACATGAATCTGGAACCCCCAGCTACCAAAAAGGACCAGCACTTGGGATGTGTGGCATGGGAAACAGCAGTTGGTGATGTGTTGGGATGGATCATGTTTTGAAATGTCGCCGGTTCAGCTTTTGGACTTGAACACCTGGAATCAACGGCTTGGAATCCATGGGGCACGTCTCAGATCTGACCAACGAAATCGGAAGATTTTTTTTACGGGGTCGGTCAACACGGTCCTGAAATCTGTGTGTCTACATAACGGGCACGTGGGGCAAAAACCCGGGCACCCACGCATTGTCCCATGTCCTCTATGGGCGAATCCTATAGGCGCATGTGGTGTACGGTTAAAGGGAAGCCACAAAAGAAGCCACGGCATGGGCGTGGCGAGTGTTTTGTTCAAGACACATCCCATGTTTCCCTTTGTGAATCGTGCTTCGGGCCAACTGAACAGGGCTGTTTCGATGACGATACGGTTCGGTACCGCAAGCTCCGCGATACCACTCGATGTTATTGATATGTGTTGCTTTGAATATCCGATAAACTTGCGATGCAGCAGGGGAGTATTGAACAATATCTCGATACTCAACCGCTGGGCGCTGCGGCTGCGCGCTGGTGTGCAAGCTGTGCTGCCAACAGGCCGGGAACCTCGAATTCGTCGCCAAAAGCCCGAAAGAAGCAAGAATCGAGCCGGCACTTCTGCAGGTGCAAGAGCCAGACACAATCCACTACACCAAAATACTCTTACAAGCCTCCTCAAAAAAAGGTCTGAAATCGACATTAATTTTGGTCACCCTCAGGAACCCTCAAAAACGATCTAACTCGCCGAGTTAGGTTGATTTCTGGCCTCGGCTGGTTGCAGCTGTCCCGGATGAGCCCTGGGAAGTGGGAACCCTGATCTAACTCGCCGAGTTAGGTTGATTTCTGGCCTTGGCTGGTTGCAGCTGTCCCGGATGAGCCCTGAGAAGTGGGAACCCTCAAAAACGATCTAACTCGCCGAGTTAGGTTGATTTCTGGCCTTGGCTGGTTGCAGCTGTCCCGGATTGAGCCTTTAAGCGGGAACCCTCAAAAACGATCTAACTCGCCGAGTTAGGTTGATTTCTGGCCTCGGCTGGTTGCAGCTGTCCCGGATGAGCCCTGGGAAGTGTTCAACATGGAATCGGCTTGAAGCAGTCTCAGTCTGTTTTCTTGGCTTTCCATTTCTCCAAAGAGGGTCTCTTCTAAGCAGCCTCTCAAAGACTTTGCCAGCGCCTCCCGTGCCAGGCAGCCACCAGCACAGCAGCAGCTGGCTGCCGCCCTTCTGGCCCCAAAGGGCCCCTCAAAGCAAACCCCAACCGATACCGATACAAATCGGTATGATTCAAAACGATTTGCAGCGATAGTCTTCGATACGATGTGAGGTTGCGATACTTGCTTTTCGATACCGATAGCTCGCAATACGCCGCGATACGATTCGGTATGTTGTATTTGTATTGTTGAAACGACCCTGTTGAAGGTGGGATGTTGGGATGTGGCGTGCCATGTTCGGCCTCCTTAGGTATTCACCTAGAAATCAATCGGAAGGAACACCCAAAAGCGGGGTCCATTTCCCAAAAGGAGGTTCGATCCTACAAATGGGTTAATGGTGGGGGATTTCATCGACCCTTTCAAATGATACCAAAGCGAATGTTTCCCATCACGGTACCCTATGAATACGTGGTAAAGCCCAAGAGCCCCAAGCTTGGCGCTGAGGGAATGAGAAATGGAGTGGCCCAAAGCTTGTGGCGTCCGTTTCTTGGTCTCCCAGCTAGGTGCCCTTTTACCGTTTCTTTTTTGGGGGAGGGTTCCCCTAAATTAGACTACAGCAAAAAGTGGGTGCCCTTATTCTAACCTCACTACCTAGGAAAGGTATCGATCCTTTTCCCAGGCATTTCCTTTGGTGCTGGAAAATCGGCTTGGCCCCTCCGTTTTTGGGAATCCCGAGGTTCAGCTGCCAAAGTTCCCTACCTCTCGCAACGAACCGCCTCGCTTCCAATTGTTTGCCGCCGCAGGGCAGCGGCATCAGCGACGAAGAGCTGCGGCGCCGTCTCAGCCGCGAGGCCTTCGCGTTCGCGCGCGGAGCTTCCGCGAAAGCGACGTGTCTGAGAAGCTCCTCCCTCCCAAAAAGAAGAACACGGACCCAGCCCTTGTGGGTATGTCTTGAAAAAGGGGGGAACCCCCCCTTCTGGCTGGGTTTAAAACGCATGTTGGGGGTCCCCGAAAAACTGACGCACCCATTTGGGAAGCTACAGGATCCCCGAACCCCAAGTCTCGCGAGAGGGCTTTGGATCAAAGCGACACGTCGTCAATGGCTCTTGGGCATAAATCCCCCAGATGCAAGCGAAAAAGAACGCCCCGCTTTTCTATCCTTTCACCCTAAGTCAACTTCAAATCCAACCCAGATCAACCCCCACCCCACCTTACACTCGCCCTGATCCAACCAGAAGCCGACCCTGGTACTGTATTGCCCGAAATCAAGCAAACACCGTCCTAAAAACCTGAAACCCCCCACAACGCACAATGACACTGCCGAATCAAATGTACACCGACTGAGCCAGCAAATGGAGCTTTGTTGCGTCGCTGCGCCAGCTGTTAACTGGTGCCTGGAATGGATTTTCTAACTATCCACGATATGATGTGTGCATGTCCTACTCCCCAAAAAGTTATGTTCCTGTGGGCTTCAAAATATCAAAAGACCAAGCGAGACTGGCTTTCCGCTTCCGGAAATCCTCCAGTTTCAAGAAAGTATCAAACACCACTGCAACTCAAAGACCGACCAACTCTACCCTCCTGTCCACGAACATGGAACCCACCATAGGGTCCCTTTTAAAGGACAACAGTCTTCCAGGACCCCTCAGTCAGGTTCCATGTTAGTGAACAGAAGGGTATACCATCCTTAAATAGCCTCTTTCCGCAAAAGTGACAAGGGGTTGACATGGAAGTCGCAACCCGCTAAGGAGGCTACGGAGCTTTGAGTACTACACCAAACTTAGTGATAGGATTCACCTGGTACTGATGTCACTCCTGATGTTTCCCTCTCACTGGTGAATGTCAACTTCGGATTGTCAAGGGTCCTAATCAGCCAACCCACCCTAAATTTAGAGATCATCTCCAAAAAAAGCACCCTTCCATGTGCTTAAGTGTTTTGTTTGTTTGTCCCCTTGGATTTACAGGGAATTTATTTCACTGCCGGAAAATGGTGTTCTCATTTTTTCCAGGGCTCTCAAACGCAAATGGAGGCCGAAGTTTGGTTTTTTCCCTTGTTGGTGTTCGCCTTGTTTTCCCTCCTTGGTGCTTTTTTTTTCCCTTCGGGGGGCACTCAACGCAAAAAGCGGCCGCCCGAAGTTTGGACGCCACTGACGCAGGCGGATCGCCTCCGCGCCCTCTTCCAAGAGCCCGTGATGGAGGTCGAACGCGGTCGAAGCCGTCGAACGCGGAAGCGGCGATGGGTGGGATGCTACCGGGTTTCTTCCCAAGAGAAACGCGGGCAACTGGGGGCGAAATAGGAACCAAAGCTCCTTGAAGGTGCAACTAGCTCAGTTGGCTGGAATGGCGAAGTGAAGTGAATTCCAAGCTCCTTGAAGGTGCAACTAGCTCAGTTGGGTGGAATGGCGAAGTGAATTCCAAGCTCCTTGAAGGTGCAACTAGCTCAGTTGGGTGGAATGGCGAAGTGAATTCCAAGCTCCTTGAATGTGCAACTAGCTCAGTGGGTGGAATGGGAAAGCAAAAATGAATTCCAGCCCCCCAAAAATGAGGCATGTCAAAACCATAGGTACCATTTTAGGTGCACCACCCATGTTAGAACCTATTTTAGTGGTTGGATTGGTTGATGTTCACTGGGGGCTAACCGATTTGGATTTTGACCCATGACCACATGTGCCATGGTCAAAAGATCGGTTCCTTTACTTGGTTGACAGGCATGGCCATCCATCTGGTTAAAAAGACTCCTGAACGGTTACGATGATTCCTATTACATGGCAGAAATGCCGATGGTGATCCTGGGCTCGTTTTTGGAAAGAAACAAATCCGGGTTTGGCAAAGGGGTCCCTGTACAAGTCTGTGATAAGGAAAGGTTCACCACTCCGCAACCACCACCAGGAACCCCAAAGGAAGTTGGCATGCTCGTCGTACAGCGCCCATTTTTGGGTTTGTACTCGGTTGATTCCCCCCAAGGCATATGATACCCTCTCATGGTGTTTGATTGCATACCCATCGGGGACAGCGGAAAAAAGAAGCCTGAGACAGATCGGAGAAGGCCACAGAGAGAAGCATGGCCCTCTGTAACATGTATTCAAAGTATGAGGCCATATGAGGCCTAAGCAAAACACTTGCATGTCCCTTCCATCCAACATCTTAGACCCTGCTCCAGTTTTGGCAGGGTCTTACGGTAGTTGCTTGAGGTTTGTATAGGTTTATGATGACGGTCATCAACTCGTTTTGGATTCGACTTCAGAATTCCTATCAGGCTCACTTTGGTTTGGTCCCTAGTGTTTTCTCAGATACCCCTTTGTAATTACATGGTAAATGGGGCAAACCACCAACCAGAACACCACCAAACCAAAAAAAAACAGCCGATTCGGCTCGCTCCAAGCCAGCAACTGGAATCGAAACCAGCTTGTTTCTCGCCATCCAAGCATCCACCGGTGGAAAAACCGATGCCTCGACCCGGAACTCAAAATGAATCCCATATGGCTGGAGTCCCAAACCCGGTTTCGACTTGACACGTCCAGCTGCATTGGGCTCTATGAAGTTGGGCTCATTCGCGTCCTTTGGATTTGGTTGGATAGGCGAAGTGTTCTTTTTGCTGGTGGCGTATCCAACCAAAATCCAGCCCTCTCTCTTTTTCTGGTGGAGTTGTGCGTAGGTTGCTTCAAACTTTGCCCAAGTTTTTTTTTTTTTTTTTTCTGGGAAGTGTTTTTTTCTCTTTTTTTTCTGGGAGTTTTCTGTTAGTTGTGTTTTTCTTTTTCTGTTAGCCCTCTCTCTCTTTTTCCAGGTTGCTGGGAGTTCTGCGTAGGCAAAAAACTCCCAGCCCCCGCTCTCACAGACGGCAGGTGCGCGTGGGAGCAGATCAGCGACCAGGACTCCGCTTGGCGTCTGCTTGACGGGCGGCGGGTGGTGACTCGTTTGCGGCTTGGTGCGTGGCTAGGTCCCCGGCTTGGTGCCCTCTTACCCTTTCTTTTTTGGGGAGGGTTCATGACCCTTTAAAAAATGGGTCCATGACCCCATGAGTTTAGGGGAGTAACCTACCATTTCTTAAGGGTCATGGAGTAATGATAGATGTTGGTGGCAGCATTTCTTTCTGAAGGTGCCAAGAGGGGCAAGGAGGTTGGGGTTCTTCAGACCGTCGGCCCAAGCAGTCTAACATTAGCTGAAGAGCCCTGCGAGGATCTGCAAACATGGCGCTTGCAACTCAGAATGGGCACCTTGGCTGGACCTCGCCTCCTTGCCAGCAGTGGGCGGCTTGACTCTTCCCACTTCCCCACAAGTCCTTCGTCCTGAACCCAAAGCTGCTGAAGTTGAAGTTCGGGGCCGCAAGTCAGATGTGAGCAACCCTCAGCTTGCAACAAGGTGGAAGCTGAGGCGTCAGAGATCGACACGCAAGTCGGTGCGGCTGCTTATTGAGCGAGTGCAACGGCAGCTGTGCGACTGCCAGTCCTGCCTAAACAAGGCTGAGAAGCGGGGTGTTGCAGATCTGGTGAAGGAAAATGAAGGAGCAACTGTCACATCTACAACGGCATCTGCCCATGGCTGTCCGAGTTTGACGGGTTGGATTCAAACTGCAAGCAGCTCGGTTCTTTAGGTTTGAAGCGTCTGAGCATATCGGTGGAATGAGAAGCGAGGTGGCCTGGCTAGTCAGCCAAAGCCTGCGACGGCTAGTCAGCCCGGGCTGCGACAATGCTGGAGCAGGATTATCTTATCCTACCGGTCGTTGGGCTGCATATGCAGTGCAACATGAACTACAACGTCAACATGCACGAGGTTCAGAGATGGGCTTGGCGTCGGCCAAGACTGTGGAGGGGGCTAGCGGGGCGTCTGATCATCTCCAACGCGGACCACTTGGGCAAAACTGAGCTGCGACCGCATCGACAACGCGCTCTGCGATTGCGTGCGGAGCTCGGAGGGCGGCGAGCAGTGCACTCGACCGGCGGCATGGCACCGCCATGGCCGGCGCCGGAAATTTCAAGTGGCGAAAGCATTGTTGGCCCTTCACCCGCTGCCTGTGGCTCGGTGACCCCAAGCCTGGCCCAGCGCCTGCTGGGTCCGGAGGCAGAGACGTCATCGACAACTGCCTGGAAAAGCCAAACAGCAGATAGTTTGGGCTGCGAGCTTCTGCCGGCAGTCTTGCACTGCTACCTGCGTGGCGCCACTGGAGGCTGCGTCAATCTTGCCCGCATCGGGCGCTCAGAGTTCCTGGCCACGCTTGAGCGCCTTGGCGATGGTGATGCTGTCTCTTTTGCGTTGGCAGCCCTGATGAAAGTGCCTAAAGAGCACTCGCACATGACGCAACTGAGTTGGTGAAGACGCGGAAGCAGCTGATGCAAGCGAAACAAGGGTCGCAGCGGCAGGCGGTTCTGAGCGAGTACGAAAAGGAGCTGGTGCAGCTCATCTCGCGTGGATACGAAGGGCTGCGTGAGCACGGAGCCAGGCAGAGGCTGGAGGACGCGGGAGAAGACGTCGAGGCACAGATGGCGTCGTTGGAAGATACCCTGGTCAAGTTCACGCAAAAGGTGTTCGCGAAATTCGCAGCGATTCGACACCTTTGGCCGAGATGTGCGGCGCCGCGGACAGCGCCGTTGCCAAGCCCAGCGAATCGGCAGCTGACGACGACACTCTGAGGCAGTACTTTCAAGCGTCTCTCTCATTGGAGGATAATGCAGAAAACGGCTGCCGTGCCCGCATTTCACGGCAAGCCATCCGATGGGAAAAAGGAACGCGCGCGGTCGGCTCGACTGATGACTTCATTGCAGAGAGGAGACTTTTGCAGCGCGTTGGCGGTCACTGCCTGGCTGGGGCCACGCAGTATCGGGCTGGCGCGACAGCTTGTCGTTTCCTCGCCAGGACTGCCAGCTGGGCTCCACAACGCCGCGTTGGCTGAAGTTGGCGCTGGATTGCCAACCGTCCTAGATTCTCCACTCAAACTAAAGTTTAAGCACCCTGTTCCTGTTGGAGTCCTGTCGGTTCACTTTTTGTTGGCAGTTTTTAGTGAGGAAGGCGCAGGAAACTTGCCTGCAGATGCCCCACCGCACTTGTGACGCCAATTGCAGGCCCCCGAACTGTTCATCTTTCCCCGGTGGATCCGGTGGTCCCCGATGAATCCGCTGGACGTTTGGGCCGCTTTATTGAGAGTTTCGACCATCCAAGGAAAGCGGTGTCCCGCAGACCTTTCGGAGCAGCACGGCCACGCTTGGTGTTCTTTTTGCGGTGGGCAGACCACTGCACGACTCGTTTCTGAATCCGGGGATCCTTCTTGGTAAACACCAAAATAGTTCGAAAAGAATGGAAAGACAGAAGCCTGCAGAAAAATTAAGTCATGTGCCACGATTTCCTGAAAACAACTAAAAATCTTAAACCTCCAGATGAACTACCAGGTGCTCTAACCCCAAAAAGGCAGTTCCTGCACATGGATGCACCCTGAGGCAGAGCCGGCCCCCAGCCCGGACCACGGAGCCTGCGTTTGCGTCGGGTAGGGGTGTCTTTGCGTTTGCCTTGGACAACGCTGGGGGTGTCTTTGAGGATTTCTAATGGAGATGTTGTCTCTATGGGGGAGGTTGCCTTGAAAAATGTTGGTTTAGGATTTCTCTGCTGGATTTCTTTGGAGGTTGTGGGTGTGTCTTTCAGTGGTTCTTTGGGATGCGCCTGGGGATTCGGACATGTCTTTGAGCCTATCTTATGGGGATATCTTTGGAAGCAGATGAGGTTTTTGGGGTTAGTTTTGGGGGGTCGCTTTTGACTTGCTTTCGGACATGTCTTCGGGAATGCTTTGTTTGTGGGGGTATCTTTGGCGATGCTTTTGGGCAACGTTGAGGATTGTGTTCGCTGGATTACTTTTAGGCTGTCTGTCTAGTCATGGTGTTGGGGGATGCCTTTGCGAATGCATTTGGGGTTTCACATTTCTTCCATTTGCGAAAGACTCTCCTTTGCTTCCCCTTGTAGAGTTTAAAGGGAATCTATCACTGGAAATATGTTCTCATTTGTTCCAAGGGACCAAAAACCAAATGGCTGTGGGTCAAAACGCATGGTACCATTTTGGGGTAGGTGCACCCATTTTAGTGTATTGTAGTGGGGATTGGGCCTCGGCTTTCAACCACCGACGTCCCACGCCATGGCTGAAGCCGACCGCCTTCTGGAGACACATGGCATCGGCAAGGCCCAGGCCGGTCGGAAACCCCCATGTGGCTTGCGAAACCTTTATACCTTGTTTCACCAGAGTCGTAATTTTGAGACACCGAACAAAATGTGTGGTGTTCTATGAACAGCACAGTGCTGAAAACACTGCCCTCTCTATTCCCTCTAAAGCCCAATTTCAAGAAGGTGGTTTTTTGTTTTCCCACACCTCCCATAAAAGAGTTACCCAGACCACTAGTGAAAGGTAAAGACGCAACCACTATTTGACTGAGGTTGGAAAAACTCTGGATCTCGAACATCCTGGAGAAAACGCTGGAAAGAAGCCCAATACCCTGCAAAGCTAGCAAAACCCTCCCACGTGCCCATTTAACATCAACGCATACTGCCAAAAATAAGGGTCCAAGACAAGTTACCCTCATAAGGGTCCAAGGCAAGTTACCCTCCAGCAACATTGAAGAAGTAGTTCTTGTTGCTGTTCTTCCCAGGCTCGCAAACAAAAACAAAACAAAAAACGGTCAAACCTGGGAAGAACCCTCTCAGAAAAAAAACAGCCAACCAAGGTTCTTCTCGTGTACCCTCCCCAAAAAACAAACCGACCCCCCCGCGTCCTCCCCGCGCATTGCGAGGCCCCCGCAAACCCCGCTGCGGCAGATCTCTTCCGAAGCTTCTGCCGGGGGTCCCGGCGCTCACGTCTCCCCATCCGACTTGGGGATCGATTTTTGACCTCGGCCTGCCAACCCCTCCCAACATCCGCGACGTGGATTTTGACCGCCAACCGGTTTCAAATCACAGTTCACAAGCAAAGGGTGAAGTATTTGGTTCAGTTGGGTTTCTTTCGCTTTTGGTTGGTTTCACATCTGCAGGGCAAGTTTGATTGAGCCTCTCCTTCGTCGGGTAGTGTTTTCGGATTGTTCCAAGCCCTCTTTTTTCGAACAGTTCTTGGGGTTTAGTTCCCTTTTAAATCGACCTAGCCAAAAAAAGGCGAGTATGTGTCTACTGGAGAGCAAGTGCCAGTTTTGGTTGGGTGTCTCAGGGACTCCTTAGTTGGTTTGGATTTGGGCTTGCATCCCAGAATCTTGTAGAGAAATGGGAAACCACCCCGGAACACCTCCAAACCACCAAAAATTGTTGAGAGCACTGCAGTCTATTATGGCATTCAAAAAGACCCATGCATCAACGGTTAAACTTCTTTCCGCCCACGTTGGCATCCAACGGCCAAGCTATCCGAACGCCAAACTGTTTGTCCCGACGACGTTCCTTTTGGCGAACTCCCTCTGTCCACTTAGTGTAAGCATGGTTGTTGGGAAACATTTGAAACATTTTTGCTTGTTGTGGTTGATTGGATTTGAAATCCAACCACTCAACTGCAAGAATTCGAGAATGTTTGATCCCCTCAGTTCAAAGCGAATCGACCTTTGAAAACCTTTTGGTTTTACGTCCATATTTCGTGGCCCCACAAGGTGATCACCGAGTTCCAGGTCCGAGCTGGGCCGAGCCCAGCGTCTTGCCCCGTAAGACGCCCGCCCCGAGCGCCGAGCGCCGAGCGAGCGCCAGGCGAGCGCGCGGAGACGGCGCCCAAGGCCCTGGAGGTGGAGAACCGCTTCTTCGCGGGCTACGGGCGCCCGGGCTCCGATCCAGCGGATGGATCGACTCGAGGTGATTGTGTTTCCCTTTTGTTGTTTTTTCTTTGTTTTTCGGCCCCCGTTTTTTGTCCCCCGTTGTTTGGGCTGTTTTCTTGTTTTTTTTCTTCTTCTTTATAATATATATATATATATATATATTTGTTTTGTGTGTGTGTGTGTGTTTTTGTTGTTTCCCTTGTTTTCCTCTTTTTTGGCGGGCGAGCGGCGCGGGCGGATTTTTTTGGGGGGAGAGGGGTGCGGTGAATTTCCATAGGTAACCCTAACCCTGTATGGGTGGTTTGGATTGGATTTGGATTTGGGTGTGGGTCCCTGCTTCTTGTAGATGGTTGGGATGACCATCAGGGAAACCACAAAAAAGATGCGACTTTGACCACTGGGCGTCACATGAGGTTCGGTGAAACGCCAGCCTAGTCAGGTAACCCGAAAATTGGTGGATTGGATTGGTCTGGATTTGGATTTGGATTTGAATGCGTCCCTAGTTCCTGCTGGTGAATGGGACACCAGCCCCAAACCTCCAACCACCGGGCTCCAAACCACCAAGTGAAAGGAAGCTAATTGAAAACTCAGCCTCACTCGTTTTTTCCCAGGTCCTTTACGAGAATCGCCGCATGTTGGCCACACGCATCACCCCTGTTGGGGTACCAAGAGAATCTTGGATGAGGTGTGCTTTGACTGCTCTCCTGTCATGTTGGACTCTAGCCCTGCCCCCGACCCACTCAAACGGTCTTCTACTTTCCGGTTGGGTCCAAAGTGAGGGACATGGGTCGCACAAAACACGGGACGGAGCTCCTTCCATTGTGGGGAAACGCAGAGTTTATGTTGACGGCTCACTGTGACCATGCGGCCGCGCCATTTTTTTGCAACTGTCGTCTACTTCATGCGGCAGGGATCTTAGCAAGCGGTCAGCAATGGCTATAATCCATTTGCTGTCAGCCTCCTGGGTGGGATATAACTTAACCGGCGCTTAGCAAGTGGTAATTTGCTCATGTTCCGCCTGTCTATGTGTCAAAATAGAGGAACCCCCGAATGGTGGGTGTGCCTTTTGGTTTCCCTTTCAACCCACCCCAAAAAAAAATGGGTAGCCTTGTGAATCGGTTGCAACCGGGGCCACGAGCCACTTCTGGCATCTCAGGAAGAGTGAGCTGGACTGGTCCCGGCCGGTGCACGGCATCCTCGGGGACTTCAAGGGGGACAGCATGCAGATGCTCTCTTGCAACCAAGACGGTCTGACCAACCCAAAAAGAATCCAATGGTTCCGTTTCACGAAATACTCGATTGCAGCTGTACCCGGTTTTTTTTGTTCTGGGTCAGTTTGCAAGGACATGAACCCTTCTCCTTCAAGAACGAAAGATATCCCTGTGTGCAAGCTTTGTAGATTGACAATCCACCTTTCGGCCTTTTGGTTTCGCCTTTTTGGCAGGCGCATGAAATCTCATACTTTGCACACACAAGCCAACATTTTCCCGCAGCCTATGTTTGGTTTGGGAGGAACACTTAATTTCTGAAAAGAGAGGAAAATGAGTAGGTCTCAAAATGGTGGACCCCCCGCCAAACGAGAGGTGTCCTTTTGGATTCCCTTCAAAACCGCCCCAAAAAGGAGTACCCTCAAAAGACACACTCAAAAAGACGGGGAGGGTGTTCAAACAAATGTCCTCTTGGAACAGGTCATTTTGACCGCTTCCTTTTCACCATTTGGGGCCCGGTTCCCGTTTGGCGACCCAAAAGAAAAACAGAAACCCACCTTTTCAACTGGGTGCTAAATAGCTCCAAGCATGTGTGATGTCCCCCCAAGAGGAAACCAAAAGGGGACGCACCATAGGTGTTCTTTGTTAGACCCCCACTATTTGGCGCCCCTATTCTTTCAGGGCCGCTGTTTCTCAGGATGGGCATGCTCCTACAGCGCCTCGAGGCGTGCAAGGACGGACTTCTGGTTCCTCCGGGTCAAAATGCGAGAAAAGCGGCTCAAGCATTGGGGAAAAACGATGGGTGGGCAAAAAGTGGTTCAACACAAATCAAAAGAAGTGAAGAAGGAGACGGCTGAAGCATTGGAATTTTTATCTGGTCAGAAAGAGTGGTTCAAAACGATGGATGTGCTAGACGTGCTGATTCCTGGTCTCCGGCCGGCGGCAGCCTGTAGCAACTCCTTCAAACAGTTGTCATGTTAGTTTCCGATTGAATGAAACGGAAGCTCCTAGGCTGTAAATGGAATGGAAAATACAGCGTTTTACTAGCCAAGACGAAAAGCAAAAAACAACTCGACCCAAATGGAATCTACTCTGTCCCCTGGGAGCAACCGCTGAAGCAGCCCCGGTAATGAGTGCCCCTGTTTGCCCTGCCTTAAAACCACATACAGTTCAGACTGCCAAAATGGAATGCTTTGGAGCCATTGAACGGGTACCAATATTACCCGTTCAATTGAACTCAACTCTTGAACAACCAAAATATTGGAAGACCATATGCCTATGTCTGACACGGGACTGGTGACATCCGCCGGACTGCCTTCCTGTCTACTGCACGCGTGCAGAACCGGAGCTCCCTTCGGCTTTGCATGGTACGTCAACCGACCCCTGTCACATGATTATAACCTAAGTAGGTTGAACATCTAAGGTAAACCAGGTTTGTTGATGGTACCCTGTTCGGGCTTGGTTTACAGGAGAACCAAAAAGGAAACCGTTGCGCCATATTGGGGACCCGTCCGATTCCTAAACAGACACACCCAAGTGTTCCAACTTGAACATTCCAACTACCAAAGGACTGGCAAGAACCTCCAAAGACTCAGGGTTGGAGGGAACGCCACAAACCCTCCCCGTGTTTTTAGCGAACTTCACAAACCCCATGTCTTCTTGAACTGGGCATTGAACCACCCCTTTCCCCCCCCCCGCCAGACCGCCCCCCTCCCTCCGCCGGAAACCCGCCAGGAGCAGTACATCTTCCTGGGGAACCCCCCGCCCTTCAACGGGGGTTGGCACTTCACGGCCCTCGACGATTTTGAGCACCCGACTCAGAAGGACCTGGACCCCTCCTGGCGAAACATCCGGATCTGGCACAAAGCGCCACGGCTTGAGAGAGGTGTGCTTTTAATCGCTTTGCTTGGCTAGAAAATCGACAGGTTCCACTGGCTTAGATCGGTTTAGCTTGGTTTAGATTGGTTTTATTCCATGTTCTGTGTTTCGGCCAAGTCACCTATGCATGGCTTGTGCAAACGGCTCGGTACCCTTTTTAAGGAGAACTCAAAGAAAAACCATTTTGGGGGTAAAAATCCCTGGAATGATTTGAGTTTGTCCTAGGGTTGTTGGGACCTAGACATTGGCCCCAAAACAACCTATTGGCCACCACTAGCCCCGGCGGGAAGCCCTTTTTAAGGTCGGTTCAAGGGAGAACCAAAAGGAAACCCACCTGTTCTAGTCCCCCCCCCCTTTTCGATCACACACTCAAATTTGAATGTTCAATGGGTTCCTGTTGGTCCATGTTCAGCGATCCCAAAAGGTGATAACCTTTTGCTTTCAGATCCAAACTATGCAAGTGAGCGATGGCTCCCCTCAATAGGAACTTTTGGCCGTCAGCTTGATCACCAGCCCAACCACATCCCCTCATTTTGTGAACAGGAAAACCACCCGTTTTGGGAAGTGGTCCCGCTCCCCTAACAACAGACACACCCGTGGGTCAAAACCTAAGGTACCAAAAATGGGCATGGCTACCGCTCCAGTGTTGTCTTTTTGGCGGCTACCCCGGGATCCCGTTTTGGCAGAGGTGAATTCACCACCCATGGTAGAACCGATTTTAGCGGTTGGATCGGGATGTTCACCGGGCCGGGGGGTTGGGACCCATAGCGCGATGGTTCGAGGTGAACTACGTGGCCTCGCAGACGGAGAAGGGCGAGGTGGCGCTGGTGCCCAAGGACGCAGCCCAGAGGCCTCACACTGGTCCCAAGCGATTGTTGACCGGAGCGGACCTTTTTTTTTAAGTTGGCGATTTTTTGGTGCCCAAAGCACTGCAAAACAAAGACCTTTGGATCTCTTTTCGTTTTTTGGTTCATGTTCAGTAGAGGTGGAAAAAGGTGAACCGTTCATTCCTGGGTCCTGCAACTGAGGCCTACATGCCATGGTCGACTCACATGTTTGCTCCCTTGACACGTTGTGAGAAGATCGGAAAAAGGTGGCACACACAAAGTCTGGTTACTTGTTCTGACCAATCACCTCAGGAAGTGAGTTGCCGGAAGTAGGACAGCCATAAGAGATCTCTCTTCCTGACTTCCTGGGCTTTAATCGTTTTGGGAAGACCATTGCAGCGGCAAATAAACAGTTTGGACTTTTTGTTAGCCAATCGGAAGTGAGAGATTCTGAAGAGTGGGTCCCTGTTGATAGCAACGGCGGAGAGTGATTGCTCTTTGGTTTGACGGACAAAAGTGCTCAATCTACTCATTCGATGTGTCACTTGGGATATTTGAGACCAGACCAACCCAGCCCACTTCAATATGCCTGAAACCAGGCGACAAGGTGGGCCGACATGGGTCTGTCGGGGGCACTATGGGCTCGTGTTTTTGAGGGTACCTGTTTTGGGCCTTGGCTTCAAGAGAGACCAAAAGAAGATGGTGTACTATTTCGGGGGTCCAAATCCCTCGTTCGAAACTACCACGCGGCTCATGCACTGTCGACAATCACCACGGCCAATGGGGGAACCCATACCGGGACGTCATTCACCAGCATCAGTTGGGAACCCTCATAACATGCATCCCAGCTCAAATCCTTTGTGAAGCATTCAAATTTGCTGAGAGCTTCGTTCAGGAGGAGTTCGATCCCAAGAACAAGCATCAGGGTGCCATCGCCATCAGCAGCACTTTCAAGCTGGCGACCATCTTCTTGACAGGCACGGCTCTCAGCCGTCGCCTTTTGCCCAGCCGTCCATGCAACCGATCCCCGACAGTTCGGGAGCCAAGGGTTCAGAGTCATTCAAAATCACCTAGTTTCAACCAAGCCAAAAGTCAGCTCGGATGAAGTTTCGGTCGCCCGGAAGTCGACTTCCGGCTGCTTGACGAGAAGAAAGGTGCCCGGCGAACCGCCGCTCCTTTCAGGGAATGTTCAGCGAAAATCTGGGAACTCGCCACTTCAGAAAGTCAGGTGTCCCGGTGTTTTGTATTGCTCGGAGATTTGGTGAATCGCCGCTGACTGGGCCCCACCAAACCGTATGAGAAGATGCCCAAAGCCAAGGTTAATGTCGGTTTCGCGAACGGCGGTGGTTGAACAGTGTATCCTCTTTCCACACCACGGCAGATCTCTCAATTCCGGTTTTGAAATCAGTCCATGTTTCGGCAGCGCGAAGAAGTGATACACCAACAAGCATAGAACGTTGCCCGATCTGGGCACAAAAGTCGCATCGTACGGTTGGCCGCACAATTTGTAACGAGCTCACCGATCGACCGGTAAACAGGTTCGCTCATACGGGGAGTCCTTTCTGTCTTGTCAAAAAATAGTACCTTACCTAGAGAGATGACAGAAAAGCCTGATTCAGGGCTTTAAAACGTTCAGGCCCCTTTTTCAACATGCCTCTTGCAAGGGTACCAAATCGGGTCTACTCATTTGCGCCCTTCATTTGTCATGCAGAAAGCACAGAGTCACGAGTCAGCCGAGTTGACTCGACACGCATCGGATAGGGCTAAGGGCTGCCTTCCTTGGGTCAAAAGGCGAAGCCTGCATCCAGGTTTGCGTGATCCACATTGCCAGTTGAAAGTTCAAGGCCATTCAAACCCAAGTTTGGAGACTTTCATGAAATCAAGTTGCAGCCCGAAACGATTTTTTTTACATGGGCGTCTATTCAACCAAGCCGTTCTCCAGTTGCACTTTGCCTCCTCAGCTGTTGCTGGAGCAAAGCATACGGGCTAAAGAACGAATGGAGAGCCAACCAGGGTAAGCGAAGGCGAGTAAGGGACACTCCCAGCCATAAACGGTTGCGGCCGCCTTGTCAATTCTTGAAGCATGGTTTTGGGTAGACCAATTCTCACACCAGGTCCAGGTTCTGATTATGACTCATCTGATTTTTGGACCTAGAATTGTCTTAAAACCTGGTCCACCTCAACCCAAGACCTTATTCTCAGGACCAGGTCTTATTTTTGGACCAGCATTTTTTGGGTCCAAGATTTGGGTCCAGGCGGCCTCATGCCCCACACCTTGAACGCCACCCTCCTGGCCGACGGCTCCGACGCCGCCGCCCTGCGGCTCAGCTCGTTGGGGGAGTCCCACCGCCCAAATGGCGCAGCGGACCGTCGCTCTCGGTGGCTTCCTCTTAAAGCCACCAACAAAACACACGGACCACCAACACCCGGAGAACCAACTCAGAAGATGAGCCCAATATTCCTTTCAACCCACTTCCACCACTGTGGGTTTTAAAGGGAATCGATTTCACTACTGGACAGGCCTTTTCTAGCCAGCATCAAAATCGGGGTAAGTGAGGGTGGGACAACCCCAGCCACAAATAGCTGCGGACATCCACGCTGCCTCTTCGCGGGCTTGGTTCCCATATTTGGTGCCGACCGTTTTGACGCAGTCCCGGGTGTCACGTTTTCGGGTTGGTTCCCTTTTTGGGTGTGGTTCAAAAGGAAACCCGGAGTTGCACGACCACCAGTTGGGGAGCGCAATCATTTAGAGACAAACTCATATTTCGGGAACTCCACTACGAAACTCCGTCGGCGCTGGCAACTTGTCAAAAGACGCACCTCTTTTCTGTGTGTTTTTAAAGGGAAGCCAAAAGCAAAGAGCCCGTTTTTCTTGGGGTCTCCAAACAATCTGGAGATACGATTTTCTGTGTACTCCTCTTTTTTAATGCCTATTTGGTTGGATCATTGTTCAGACTTTAGCTTTTGGTTGAAAGGGGTCGGATTTCCAACAGACCCACAAAAAGTGCAAAGCTTTTTGCAGAAGGTTCAACAACAACGAAGACTTGGGGCGTGTTTTTGTGGTTGTACTCTGCCACCCAAAGGGAAAACAACAGGGCCCCAAAACATGCTCATCCACGGGACCGGCGAGATGTCATCCAAATAGCAGCTGATGTTGTGGTTCCCTTTGTAAAACAAGCTGTTTTGGCATGTATCCTTCAAGGAACCCAGCCCGCGGCGAGCTGATTTTTCTGGATTTTTCAGTGCAAAGCCTAAACTGGCCCAACACCTGCCCTCGACCCACCCTAAAGCCATTTCTCACTTCCTGAGTTCATGAACTTCAAGCTCGGGAAGACCAATTGATTGGTAAATATCCAGTTTGGCATCCACTCAGCCGGTGAGAAAGAAACGTGTGCGCCGAGAAATGGGACGGTGTGCGCGAGGCTGCTGAAGCACCTGGAGCTCAAGACCCGCGTGGCGGCCATCGGCCACGGCTTGGACGTCCTGCTGGCGCTGGGGGCGCTGAAGGGCTTCGAGGCGGCGCACTTCCCCAACCAGGCGCCGGGGGGCCAAAGCCGCGGCGGGGTTCAACCGCGGCGTTGCCTAGGTGGAGCAATTGGTGCCCTTTCTCACCGTTTCTGGCCTTTGACCCTTTTTTGGTTGGGAGGATTCCCCTACTCAAATAGACTACAGAGAAGAAAAAAAAAAGTTGGTACCAACTTATGCTAACCTCTCTAATCTGGAGGACCTAGTTGCGGTCGGTTGGTCGGAAGCTTCGGTTTTTGGCCGGGGGTGGTTTCCCATTTGCCCGCAAGAACCAAGGGTTCAAATCGATTGGGATTGGTGGTTTGATGGGTCCGAGCCATGTCCACTCTTTTTATTTGGAAAAAGTGGCGGTGGGTTCAATGGACGCCAGCAATAAATTGATCAACTTGAAGTGGAAATCCAGCTCGAGCCTGAATGCGCGGTTTGGATTTGGATGGGCAAATGGGAACCCACCCCCAGAACATCCCAACCACCGATTCGGGAAGCGGTTGCTGGACTTGGATCTGGCTTTGCCCGATAGTGGACGGGTGACCCGATTGGGTGGACCATAGTGGCTAGGTCCCCCAGCAATTGGTGCCCTTTTATCTTGGTTTTTTTTGCGGGGGGGTTCCCCCACTAGAAAGACGACAGAAAAAGTTGGTGCCCTTATTCTAACCTCTCTACTGGAGGTTTGGGTGGTATGCAACAAGTTGAAACTTGCTTGGGCCAATCCACTCAATAGCCTCTTCACACGGGTCGTGTTGTTGTGGATGGATTTTTGTTTGTGAGGGGGATGCCAACAAAAAGGTTGTGCCTGACTTCAAGAAAGATCGTGGCGCTCTTGGGGCGCTGACTTGCCGTTGCCAGAAGGTAGATTCAGAATTTCGCATTTGGGTGTGTCATTATATATGGGACCCCTCCAAAATGGGTGGTTGTTTTCCGTGGTTTCCCTTTGACACCACAAAAGAATGGCGTACCAACTTTAAAGAAAGAAGCGCCGCCCATTTGCCTTTCAACCATCTCTCTAGGAGATGATGTGTCAGCGTTGCTCCAAACCTGGCATGAATCACCGAATTTTGATGTCCACCAAACGGTCCCTTTCTGAAAGAAAACACACCCTTTGAGTAGAACAATGGAGGCTTTCCCTTGGTTCTCCTCCAATGTGGATGCCTGACCGGGGGTTGCGACCACAACTGGCGTATTTCTGCAGTTTCAACCTGTGTTCCGGGCTGTCCCATGACTGCAGGTCGGTTTGAGCGGTGACATCCCTCCATTGCCCTTTTCACCTCAAGTGACGATCGTTTCAAAGCAACCCACCAGTAAATGGTGACTCCAGTCAGCGGTTATCAAAGTGGCAAACTGGCGTGCCTTCCCTTTAACCTACCACTTCGAGGTGATTTTGGTTTTTTAGAAAAAACTTCAACCTACCACTTAAAGGTGATTGAGCAAAAAAAACTTTGACCTACCACTTAGAGGTGGGGAGAAAAGAACAAGAAAACGACAACCCGAAGCCAATTTGAGCGTTCAGGAGCACCTGCTGCGCATCAATGGCCTGCAGCCCTCGGGCAGTCCTGTCTGCGCCTGTGCCCGGGAGGGCCTGGAGCTGGTCACCGCCGGCTTCTGGGGCCAGGCGCCCCGAAAGCGGCGAAAGCGGGGAAAGCGGACGGGGGCCGCAGGTCCCTAGACCTTTGGGCTAGGGAATCCCCGAAAGCTCCAAATACCAAAGCTCCTTTTTGTTTAAACGGCATGTCTTGGAAAACCTGGCTTTCATGCAAAATGCCAAGGTGACCAGGTCAACAAACAGTTGTGTTACGTTTCGCTGATGGTCATCAACCCCGAGAGTTTAGACGATTTAGCAGCACCAGTTGCGCCAATGTCAGAGGACGTTCTTGGGAGGTGGGTATAGGTAAGGCGGCCTCTTGGTGCAGCCCTTCTGATCCATTTACGTTCGATTGTTTCGGCCTTGCTTATCACTTACCAAGCCATTTGCCCTTTTTGCCCGTCCGTTTCTAAAGGCCCCACTTGGCAGTTCCCAGCCGTCCGTCCCTTCAGGTCTTTAGATTTTGAACGTTTGGTGGGGTTTTCATTTAGCCAACTAAAAGTTCCTGGACCTTCCATTGATACCTCTTTTTTTGCTCGCTGTTTTTGTTTCCCGCTCGAACAGAAAGTTCGTGCCCGATTTTTCAATTTCTGCCCGAGCAATGGAAAAGTGCCCGAGGTTCATATTTTCAAATGAGCACTTGTCAATTTTGCGCTCGTTTGCGGGTCCTTGCACTCGTTTTGCGGGCCGTTGCGGGTGTTTTTGCACACAAATTCTGCTCGAGTAGGTCATATTAGGACCTGACAGCCCGCATGCCTCCAAAAACTGCTCGAGGTCCGAAAAAAGAAGGACAAGCCCAGAGAAAAAGGTACGAATTCCAAAAACCAGCCGATTGACAGGGGAGGCAGAAATCTCAGGTACGTTTGAAGGTCCAGGTTAACAACTTTTAGGTGTTTAGGTTTTGAACGTTTGATGGTTGGGTTTCCATTTTGCCCACCAAGAGTTAGAACAACCTCTGCCCGCGGATCCGAAAACGGACAGCCAACGGCACTCCGCAGCTGACGGCTAACTCAGGCGACCGCCGAGCCCTTCTTCGCCGCCCTGGGCCTCGGTTCCGCCGCCGCCGAGCCGAGAGCCGCGGACGTGGGCAGGGCCGTCCGCGTGCGGAGCGCGGAGACGGCGTTCTGCTGGGACGCGGGGAAGCTCCAGCAGCTGAAGGGGACCGGATGGGTGAGCTTAGGTTGTTGGGGGGGGGTGGGGGTTTGGGGGGGGCAGTTAGCTTCCGATGTGATGCGGATCTGGTGTGACTAGGTGTGATGAGCGTGCGTTTCGTTTGTGTTCGCTGTGACTTTGGTGTGGTGTAGATAGATGTAGATAGGTTTTGCTGTGCAGATTGACTCGGGGATTGGCCAGCATTGACTTCACTTGTCATTGGCACGATGTAACGTGCCTGGACTTGTGTGTCATCAAATGAATGGCGGTCAACCTGGCAATATACTCATGCGTCCGAAGTAAACATGTAAGAATTCTAGATTGTTGCTTCGCTGGTATGAGAAATTGTGCGAGCTCAGGACAAGGGGTCGCTATGACAGAAACCTTCCTTCTGCGATGTTTTGCTCAGAATTGGCACCTGGTCTGAACGTCTGGGTTGTAAGTTTCTTCACCATCAAGCATGGCTGAATTCTCGGAAAGCCAGCAAGGTGGCCCGAATGGCCATGGGTCAGCTACGATGAATCAGCATGGGCAAATCAAGCCACCCCAGAAAAGCTTTTGGGTGTTTGATTTGGACACCCAGCAGTTCTTTGCTGATGTTCCATTCGAGCGGAGTTGCGCCATTGCCCTTCAGCCTATGCGCCATTGCAGGGCGATGTCCGAGGATTGCCAGGAACCATCCCTGTTTGGATCCCACCCGTTTTAATAGAACCCTGAAACCAAGAGGTGGGTGAAAAGCCGGACCAGGTTCTTTGGTCTCTCGGGGAGTCCCAGCATGGAACCGCAAAACATCCGGGCCAAATCCATGGAATCCAGTCAACCAATGTTTGTTCCGCTGAATTTGCAGAATTTGTCACGAAAAAGCAGGGTTTTGAGGGTTTAACGGGTTTCCTTTTTACACCCCCCCCCCCCCGCCCCAAAAAAAAATCCAGCTCAGAACAACATGCACACATGTATACTTTAACTCACACACCCACTGATGCTATGTTGTTGTGTTTTTTTTGGAAAGGGGAGTTCCTTGTAAAATCAACTACCCAACAAAGAACGCCTTTTGTCTCCCGTGGCCACTAAACAATCCGGGTTAAGGAACCCCACCGTGCGCCGTGCGCGTTTCACGCAAGACAGGACCTGCATCACCGGAGACCCTGCTGCGCCCACGGTAGCCGTCCTCGTGGATGATGTGGCGGATCCCATCGAGGCGTACACCATGCGCCCTGCGCGAAATGCAGCGAAAAGGGTTGTGGTCAGCTGAAAAGAAAAGCCATGAATTTTGGTCTACAGGCTCAAACAAGCTCGGGGGGGTGGGATAGCACCTGGGCTGTTTTGTTAGGGGGGAGCCCCTTTTTGTTGGTGTGTTTAACGAGAAGCCAAATGGAAAACCCGAACCATTTTTGAGAGGGCCCCCGAACTTTGAGACCACAGTTTCTCGAGCGATAACTCTTGGTTTCCACTTAGTCACTTGAATGTGTCTTTCTTTTTGGTGATGTTTGGTGCCCCTTGAATGTGTGTGTTTGTGTGTTGAGTTCGCGAATGTTCGCGATGTCCTTTTTATCTATTGTTCACGTTGCATCATTCCAAAAGAAAGCCCTAGCAAGCAGAAAAACGCACTTAAAAAGAGGTCAAAAGAACCACCCTTGGTTAGTACCGTCCTTGGAATGAATCCGAAGGAAACATTATAGTTTTGATTTCGACATCACCTTTGGTTGCCACTTTCCTTTTGGTGAGTGACGTATCTGGACCAATCAGTTTGAGCTCTTTAGCCCATGAAGGTTCCTTCCGGGTTAACTTCCTTCCAGGTTTCATGTTTCTCAGGCAACCTCACCAGTCCAAAGCGCCAATCAGAGGGAAGCTGCGTGCCCCGTTTTGATCCTCGATTTCCGGAACCCAAGGATCGACCACTTGATACAACTGAAGTTCAACGCGCACTTGATCAGCCACAGCCAGGATGAAAGGAGCGATGCGGAGAAGCGCTTTCCACAAACTCCCACTCTTCGATATTCATTCAGGGCATTGCTCAATTCTGCAAAGCGTCCGGGGACTCAAGTTGCATATCTCTTCTCTGTTGGAACCGAACCGTGCCCTTTGGTCCCCCATGAAGGCATGTCATTTTTTTTGAGGGCAACCTCTTTTTTTTTTTTTCGGGGGGGGGGGGGGTGGAGGGGCAACCAAAAGAGAAGCCACCAGCTTTTCCTTTGGGGGAAAGGCGTGCCCCAAGAAAGGCACCCCGCCACGGAAAACGCCGGGTCCATGGCTTCTCCGGTTCCCCGCGCGGCGTTTGTGTTCCTTTGGGGTGTTGAAAAGAGACACACCCCAGCGGGTCCCAAAAAGGGACACCCAGCGAAAAGCTGCCGAGTTGTGGTGCCTCCCGTTTGGGACAAAGTCACATGTAAGCCCACTAGTTGATGGGCCCCCAAATTTCCGTCAATGTTCAATCACTTCATGTGCACATCTCTTTCGACCTCGGGAAGCCCGTTTTGGCTCAGATGAACCCAAGTAGAAAGACACCCATGCGGGGAAAGTGATTCTGGACTGGCTGGGTTAGAAAGTTGGCAAGCTCTGGCTACAACTCACACCTGACACGAATATTTTCCCCAAAATGTCAAAGGAGTCCAGTTGAATTCTCGTTTAACCACGATTAGTACCACCTCAAAAACGACACAAATACATACGTCCTGCATTGCACTCAGAAGCGCTGGCATACACCAAGTAGGTCCCCCAGTAGTGCCCTTTTACCGTTTTTTGGGGGAGGGTTTTAACCTCTCAACTGGAGGCCTAGCCAAAGCAGGCGAAAAGATCTCCTCAGGAGCTCGGAATCCATCCGCAGGGTGAAGACTGAGACAGTGCCTCGTTGCGGTTCGCTTACTCGGCTTGGTGCTGAACCGCCCAAGGTCTTCGAGTCTCCTGTCCACTAGCAAGCAACCCACCAGAGGGTCCATGTTAATGTTGACCCCGGATTAATAAACCCCTGTTGGTTAATATGGGGGTGTTCCCCTCCAAAAGTGATAAAACCTCACTAAAACCGCGGACACCGCCATCTTAATAAACAGGGGTTTATTAATCCGGGGTCAACATTAGAGAAAAACCCTCAGTAAGGTTCCATGGCTCAATTCGGCCTTGACATACCCCACCCCATTCCAATTCTTTTCAGCGCTTGCGCGCATCAGAAACCCGGAACCTTTTTATTGGGGATCCCTGATCCTGGGGGGTCAGGGGGATGCCAGGGATCCAAAGAAGCCCTTGTTCGTTCACCTTGAGCCCAAGCTTTTTGAGATGTTCCTTTTGGCAAGTTCAGCAAAAGGAACGGATGAAACCACCTGAAAGGACGCTGCAACCCGGGCTTTGGGAAGCGTCTCGCAAAAAGAGAAGAGCAGCGCATTTGCCTACTGGGGTAAAAGGAGCGAAGGCGATGAAAGAAGCGAATTGACCCAGCGAGTTGACGGAATGCCCATGGCAAGAAAGTCAGAAAATTTGAAGCGCGGTCAAAGCCAGTCTACGATGAACGTGCGATGAACGTCGGGGACTTTCAATTCCAGTTTCTGTTCACCTTGACAGTGAGAGCCCGTTGAGCCTAGTGTTGTATGCCAAACGAGTCAGGACTTTCCCGTAAACCGCTTGCAAAGCTCAGCTCCTCAATTGGTTTATCTCAAATAGACCCCCTTTTGGGGATGGATTTTGAACTGACAAGCTTTTGGCGTTCTAATCCTCAAGTTTGGACCGGTGGACGGGCTAGATAGAAACTTCTACGACAACCAGCTGAATGGTTATAACCCATGTAGGGCTGTAAACAAGGTTGCAAACAAAACACTTACATACTGCGCCGATCATAAGTTGTAGGTCATAAGCAGGATGGAAGTGGGCCAGCGGGGGTTGTCTCATGACCATGACAGCATTCTGAATGACTGCGGTGAAACAAGTGCCACGGGTGTTCACCACCCACTAGACCCTCAAGGTACCCCCCAAAGGCGGATAAGTTTAAGCAGCCAAGACTGAAGTGCCGTGTTTCTCGTGGGCCTGGAGCTCCATCTTAGCGAGCAAAGGTCTGGGGCAATGCGATGTACGCGCTGAAAGACTGCTGCTGCGAGATCCCCACTCTGCCGGCAAACTTGGTGGCCACGAAGTTTGACGCCTTCTTCGTGGCAGGCCACTCCTCCCTGAGATCAACTCGAAAGTCTGTGAATCATGCTGTGGATGGCAACGAAATCCTGGTTTTCCACTTGAAACCATGGTTGAAACCAGAACGTTTGTTGGTATGTGCAGGGGAAATCATCATTCCAGGGTTTCTTCGGTGAATTTTGTCCATCCACAGGTTCACTACCTCAAAACTGGACATTTGGGTGTAAAGATGATAGATTTCTGTAGGTGTGAGCCCAAATGCTAGTGGCACATTTCGTCGCTAGACAGCCGGTACTTGCGAGTTCCCCTCGCCAGGGGTATCCACGATACCGCGAAGCTGTTCTCAGGTGAAGGGCTCGCTGCTGTTTGGGGGAGGGGGCGGTCCCAAACATGGACTCTGCTCCTTTTGTATATTGGCTCGGGGTTTCTCAAATTATCATTTTGGCATGAGAAGTGTGGCGGCAGAAATCCACAGAAAAAAAGGAGCGTGGTGTGCGGCGCCGACCCGTTTCTCAAGGTCAAAAAGCATTGGTGTCCTTGCACGGGTACTTCTGGATGCTTCTCGGTCACTACACTCGGGTCTCCTGCAAGACAAGGCAATGTAGCTCAGGGTCAAACAAGTTTCGTGTCCTTGCACAAGTGCCCCTGGTTGCTTCTCGGTCACCACCAAACTCACGAGCCCTGCAAAACAACACAATATGGCAGAAGGTCAAAAAGCATTGGTGTCCTTGCACGGGTACTTCTGGATGCTTCTCGGTCACTACACTCGGGGCTCCTGCGAGACAAGTTTCGTGTCCTTGCACAAGTGCCCCCGGTTGCTTCTCGGTCACCACCAAACTCACGGGCCCTGTAAAACAACACAATATGACTCAAGGTCAAAAAGCATTGGTGTCCTTGCACGGGTACTTCTGGATGCTTCTCGGTCACTACACTCGGGGCTCCTGCAAGACAAGGCAATGTAGCTCAGCTTCAAACAAGTTTCGTGTCCTTGCACAAGTGCCCCCGGTTGCTTCTCGGTCACCACCAAACTCACGGGCCCTGTAAAACAACACAATATGGCTGAAGGTGAAAAACCATTGGTGTCCTTGCACGGGTACTTCTGGATGCTTCTCGGTCACTACACTCGGGGCTCCTGCAAGACAAGGCAATGTAGCTCAGGGTCAAACAAGTTTCGTGTCCTTGCACAAGTGCCCGCGGTTGCTTCTCGGTCACCACCAAACTCACGGCCCTGTAAGCAACACAATATGGCTGAAGGTGAAAAAGCATTGGTGTCCTTGCACGGGTACTTCTGGATGCTTCTCGGGCTCCTGCAGGACAAGGCAATGTAGCTCAGGGTCAAACAAGTTTCGTGTCCTTGCGCAAGTGCCCCCGGTTGCTTCTCGGTCACCACCAAACTCACGGGCCCTGTAAAACAACACAATATGGCTGAAGGTGAAAAAGCATTGGTGTCCTTGCACGGGTACTTCTGGATGCTTCTCGGTCACTACACTCGGGGCTCCTGCAAGACAAGGCAATGTAGCTCAGGGTCAAACAAGTTTCGTGTCCTTGCACAAGTGCCCGCGGTTGCTTCTCGGTCACCACCAAACTCACGGCCCTGTAAGCAACACAATATGGCTGAAGGTGAAAAAGCATTGGTGTCCTTGCACGGGTACTTCTGGATGCTTCTCGGGCTCCTGCAAGACAAGGCAATGTAGCTCAGGGTCAAACAAGTTTCGTGTCCTTGCACAAGTGCCCCCGGTTGCTTCTCGGTCACCACCAAACTCACGGGCCCTGTAAAACAACACAATATGGCTGAAGGTGAAAAAGCATTGGTGTCCTTGCACGGGTACTTCTGGATGCTTCTCGGTCACTACACTCGGGGCTCCTGCAAGACAAGGCAATGGAGCTCAGAGTCAACAAAAATTTCGTGTCCTTGCACAGGTGCCCCCGGTTGCTTCTCGGTCACCACCAAACTCACGGGCCCTGCAAAACAACACAATATGGCTGAAGGTCAAAAAGCATTGGTGTCCTTGCACGGGTACTTCTGGATGCTTCTCGGTCACTACACTCGGGGCTCCTGCAAGACAAGGCAATGTAGCTCAGGGTCAAACAAGTTTCGTGTCCTTGCACAAGTGCCCCCGGTTGCTTCTCGGTCACCACCAAACTCACGGGCCCTGTAAAACAACACAATATGGCTGAAGGTCAAAAAGCATTGGTGTCCTTGCACGGGTACTTCTGGATGCTTCTCGGTCACTACACTCGGGGCTCCTGCAAGACAAGGCAATGTAGCTCAGGGTCAAACAAGTTTCGTGTCCACAAGTGCCCCCGGTTGCTTCTCGGTCGGTCACCACCAAACTCACGGGCCCTGTAAGCAACACAATATAACTCAAGGTCAAAAAGCATTGCTGTCCTTGCACGGGTACTTCTGCTTCTCGGTCACTACACTCGGGGCTCCTGCAAGACAAGGCAATGTAGCTCAGGGTCAAACAAGTTTCGTGCCCTTGCACAAGTGCCCCCGGTTGCTTCTCGGTCACCACCAAACTCACGGGCCCTGTAAAACAACACAATATGGCTGAAGGTCAAAAAGCATTGGTGTCCTTGCACGGGTACTTCTGGATGCTTCTCGGTCACTACACTCGGGGCTCCTGCAAGACAAGGCAATGTAGCTCAGGGTCAAACAAGTTTCGTGTCCTTGCACAAGTGCCCCCGGTTGCTTCTCGGTCACCACCAAAGTCACGGGCCCTGCAAAACAACACAATATGGCTGAAGGTCAAAAAGCATTGGTCGGGTACTTCTGGATGCTTCTCGGTCAGTCACTACACTCGGGGCTCCTGCAAGACAAGGCAATGTAGCTCAGGGTCAACAAAAATTTCGTGTCCTTGCACAGGTGCCCCCGGTTGGTTATCGCTTGCCACATTTGTGGTTCATTCTGCACCATGCCGTCTATGTCTATGTCCTGTGGCTCATGTGCCTGGAGCTGGGAATCTGTTTGCCCCTTGTTTCGGGCGTGTCCTTGAGCCATGGCCAGCTCACCTGAGCTCCTCGCTGGCAACGAGTTTGCTGGGGCCTGGATGCAGGCGGTTGGCATCGAGACCGATGCCGACTTAGCCTTCTACTTTGAGAACTACCAGCAGGCGGAGCTCAGTGGGGCTGCGGTGGCCCGTGCCTGGCTGTCTGCCAGAGACCGCGTGATGCGGGGTGTGGGCGGTATGGTGCGTGACCTTTACCGTGTCAAGGTGGTGGAGCCTGAGGCAGCGATGCCTTCAGGGTCGCAGCCTGCCTGGCGTGTCTCGCTGCGCACTGACCCTGAGCCCCATGCAGAGCTTTCAACAGCAAACAGCGCGTTTCGCTACGCAGGCGCTGGCAACATGCATGTGATTGAGAACACAATGTCTGGACTGCTTCAGAAGCTGTTGTCGACCACAAAACAGCCACCCTGAAGAGGGTGACATCGCGCCGCCTCTGCTGACCCCGTTCTTCATGGCGCAGTTTTTCCGTACCTCTTCAACACCGTCTCGATCGTTATCAGCCTTGCGCTGGATGCAGCGGAACCTCTTTGTGGACATTGACCTCTCCCTTTGCGTGTCAAATCGGGTCCAGTCAACCACGGCAGCTGGAAGAGGAGCTGCATTGCTCGCCATCATGGCCGTGTTTGCCCGGAGCTTGGCTGCAGTGCTTTGGGTGCCTGCGGTGGCAGCACCTGCAGCGCAGCAAGCTGGTACGCATGAGCCAGCGCATTCTGCATTTCCTCTGCTTGCGGGGAAAGACTTATGGGCAGAGGCATGGCTTCTTGTGGTCTGCCCCGCGCTTCACCTCCTGTCGACGTTGGCAGTGCGCTGACCCATCTGGTCGGTTCCCGAGCAACACCCGGGCTTGTCTTCCACCCCATTTCGCGGGAGATGATGCGGCAGTCCGCTGCGCAGGATGCGGTCTGTCTGGCCTTGTCGACCTTGGTGTTCGAGGACGACCTGGCGCTGGTAACCTCCAAGAGCTGGCGGCAGGCGGCCGTCACCTGCGGTATTTTGGCAGGTTTGGAGCCAGCCGACATGGTGGCGCTTGGCAACTGGACCGACAAGTCTCATGCCGATCAGTCCCGGAGCTTGATGCCGCTTCGGTACCACAGCGCGAAGTACCTCCAGAGCGCAACTTGCGGCAAGATGCAGTACTTGCCAGGAACGATGCAGCTTGCTTGATGGCGGAGGAGGAGGTTCGAGTGGTCGCAGTTGCGGCACACAGAGCGGGCTGTCCGCCTGCGCAAAGGTGTGCCTTGCGCAAAAGGGCTCGGCATCTTCCCGGCCGCAGGTGGCGGCTGAAGGTGATGGCTCCGAGAGTTGCCCGGCGGTCAAGGCCATGCCCTGAAAGCGTGGCCCGGTGACTTTGCCGTCCACGCCGCTGGAAATTGGGAGGAGCCTCACAACGAGCCCGCAGAGGATGACTACTTTGATGAGCTCGCGCAAGCGCGCTGGCGACGCCCGGGCCAGAGATTGCTTGGACACGCATCAGGGGGGGGTCTCCCCGCAGAAAGGGATTTTGCTCGCTTTCACAAGCTCAGGGTGGCTTTGATCGTGTCGGTCTTCAAGGAGTCTCTGGAGAGCCGCGGCGCCCGAGTTCCATCCGGGATCATGACCCTCAATTTCCCACTGACGGACATCCGCTCCAGGGATGCTGCTTGGCAGCGGCTCCTCTCTCTCCTCATGCCGTGCTTCGAGGACCGCACTTCCATCTGCATCCACTGTGCAGCAGGAGTTCACCGAGCCCCGGTTGGTGCAGGCATGGTGCTTGCATTGCTACGTGGCATCTCCCTGTCTGCCGCGCTGCAACACATTCAGCGCTTGCGCAACGTGGAGCCGCACAAGGTGTTGTCCAGGGGTGGCTTGGCTTGCTGGTGCCATGAACGCGCCGATGCCGATCGCCCCGTGCCATGTCGGATTGGGCTTCCGCCTGTCTTCTTGGCCAGCAAGCAGGCCGTGCAGCCTGGCACGTGAGGCCCAAAAACATAATGCCAGAGTCCCCCCGGCCGGCATGCCGGTGGCGGCAGAGCAGATCTG